TCCTCAGGGCTTTCCAACAGACATAAAGCTTAAGGAAAAGTGTTAATTAAACTCCATGAACTCCCCATGCCTGACCACTTGACCTCTGATACCCAGGGGCTGCTTAGCTGATTCTCCAGCAGACTTGGCCTGTGCCAACTAGAACAGTTCAAGAGTAGTACACCTAAACACCGTTTCCAGTGGGCTCTATGGATAACCCTGCTCCAAGTCTGCTCTCTACAGACTCCCTCAAAGCTATCTCAGTGGCTGTTGCACCCTCAAATACTACGTGCTTTCATTTAAGTGACCTATTTTTTTATTTTGTTTTTTAAACTGGGGGAAAGAAATGTGGAAATGAAACTTTTAAACAAAAGGCAACGAATAGCCACTTTAAAATACAATGAACTGGATAAAAAAAACTGCAGACACAAGCAAAGTTATGCTTGAAGGCCACAGGATGACAAACAGCACAGAGGAACTCCGGGGCCATTTGAGATGTAGTGTTGATTGGCCAATCTGATCTTAAGGGGGTTACAGCCCTAAATAATATGGACATGAGCTGGGCTATGCCTCCAGGCAGGGAGAGAGGCAGTGTCCTGGCCATCTACAGTTTAGCAGAGGCATAACTAAAATATGCCTGTGATCTTCGTGTGACTGAGAACCAGACTGAGCTGTATGGTAGCAATGCTCTCACCACTTACAAAGTAAGTAGGTAGGTACAAAAATGGCAAAAGCAGATCAGCTGACTGAAAAGATATTTTGATAGCTAAAAAATGTGATTCATTTCACAATTCTTGAATGAAGTCTCCTTTGCAAGGACAATGCTTCAAAACTGCATAGAAAGTGACAAATTTCTTCTGGTATTCTTCAGGTCAATTCAAGTCCAAGTCTGTATTAAACAACAAGATCCTATGTGAAGTCCCACCTTCTCATCTAAAGTTATTTTAGAAGCTCACTGCAAGCACTGGGCTCACAGCAGACAATGCTCTATTTGGAATATTGAGGAAACTCCACCCTTCTGGGAATTCCCCGTTTCCAGAATGCTGCTCGTGTATTGCTCCTTCATTTAGTGCTTCAGACAAAGTTGAAATGAAGGGAAATGGACAATATAAACTCTTGCATGACATTATAATTAAATCTGTGACTTGTCAAAATCTTTGTTTAACAGGATGAGCACACTTAGCCAGATCCCATATGTGTGTTAATTATAGCAAGAAAGCAAACAAAATGTCAATATTCAAAACAAATCCTACCAACAGGAAATGGTTATCAAGCTGTGATAAAATGTTTATCAGGAAATGTTTTTACACTATCCAAAACATTTCCTGTCTGTAACCTTTTTTGTGGGAAAAAGAATATCTGTGGTGCTAGAAATAGAATCTTTGCAAGGAATTAAATGACAGTGCTTATAGAAAATGGTAATAGTCACAGATCTAGCTTCTTTCCTGTTTTCTTCTTTGTACATAGTATGATGTAACTCCAAAAGAAAACTGTTTTCAGAAGTTACATGGACATCACTAAAGTTTGTACTTCACAGATTTAAAAATAATTTAAAGCAAAATTTTCATAGGTAATATCTAAGCATGGAGGCAGTGGAAACTTGAGCCTTTGCTCCTTGAGACTGACAGTGAAACAGTATTTCTATTAAAATATCTGAAAGGCTCAAAAGAGATTAATTAGGCTGAAAAACAGTACTATTGAAGGCAGCAAAAATTATATTCAAGGGGAAGGGGAGCCAGAGATTATCTGTTGAAATGCTTACTCAAAAATCATGAAGAATTATATTTCCATAATCATGACTTTTCAAAACTCAGAAAATTCTGATTTGTTGCAAACACTATGGGTAGTATCACAAAATCACAACAGAGCTTGCATTTGAATATAAGTAAATATTTGTCAGGATCAACCTATAAGACATTACTGAAAATAGAAATGCATGATAGACAATTCTTCCTAGATTTGTTCTATCAGCCATATGACATCTAACTTGTAGTCTGTTATTCCATTCTTAAAATAGTCCATCCTCCCAAAAAACAACAATGAACTTTAAGAGCTTTTAAAAGGGAATTCAGCCAACAAAACTCCTTGAGTATTTGGAAAAATTAGGTTATTGCGAAATAATATTTTTATTAATCAACACTTATACAAAAGACATTTTGCTTTGATTAAAAACTGTTATTTGTTCCTATTTTAACTGCAGATTCTGTACCTCTTATTGCATTTTTTTTTCCTGTATATGAAAACTACAATGGAGCAAATTTCTTGTACAATGGAACTAATGATAAAATCCTTAAAGATGAAAGAACTTCAGCAGGTCATCTGATCCATTTTCATTACCTGAATTAGGATCAACAAAAGTTACTTTAATTTTGATCTACAATTTCAAACCGAGAAACTACTTCACTGGACAATCAATTCCCAACTTCCTTATTATCACTGTGAGAGCAGATTCCTCTATTGCTAAAGCTGAATCTCCCTTGCTTCAATATTTTCCCTGAACATGCAGTGATCAAAAATTCTCCTTGCTCTTTGCAGTAGCATTTTCTCACAACCTGGCAATGTTTCTTTTCTGCCTTAAGATACTATTTTTGGACATCCCAGGATGAGGTTTACCTGTTTTGATGTGATGTTACTGTACAAGCTAAAATTGGACTGCCTTGCAGTGCACCATCAGTCCTTCCTGGCTTCATGTCAAACAGAAATGGAATGAGCATCATCCTAGTCATTAATTGAAATATTGGAAGGATCTACAAGTTGCTTGTAAGATGAGACAGGCACATATTAGAATCATACAATCATAGAATAGTTTTGGGTTGGAAGGGACCTTTAAAGGTCATCCAGACTAACTCCCCTGCAATGAGCATTCCTTTCCATTCCAATTCCCTTCCTTTCATTGCTGCTGAGATCTAAATTTGGCATTACATTTAGGAAAGAAGAAAAACAACCCAGGGATAGTTCAAATGAAAGGAAGAAAATGAGGCAGGAGTTTAAAAAATGGCAAGAAAGGAAAGGCAGAAATAACTGGATCAGGTTTTTACTTGAAGGCATAAATAATGGAGGCCACTTCCCACTTTCCCTGTCAGAAATTTTTGCACCATTTCTCGTTTGAACTCCCGAGGTTTTAATATATCTTCACTGCTTTTTACTATGGTTTTTTCTTTTCCATTAAATTAAAATGTCACTCAGTACCTAATATTTTCTCATTGTAAGGAAGCTAAAACTGCAATTACCTTTAAACTCTTTTCAATAAGCTAAACAAATAATCCCTTTAGCTATGTCTAATTTTCAAGCCATTGATCATCTTCATGCAGCCTATCCCACTCTCAACATCCCTATCCAAATGTATAGTAGCATTAAATGCAGCATCCTAATAACCTAAAATTCTAATTACTGGATGCAAATTACCTTTCAATTACTGTTGATTCCTGTCTGGGCACATTCATGAATGAAATTAGCCTTTTTCATTTTTATATCCTCTGTCATTCAGCTGTTGTTCACTGAACCCAATCCTTTAGCTACATGTTTCAGAATGCAGTTTGCTTGTAGATCCACATCTATTTCTTGTGGAATTAGGGACGGATATCACCATATTAAACTGCATTTTGTTTTAGAGGATCAAATACACCACCTGCTCCACTGCTTCTAAGTGTGACCTTCCGTGAGTCACATTGAGCATACCTCCTAGAAAAATACCCAATATTGTTTTAAAATATGCACTGTAGAACTGATACACACAATTGTTTTATGGGACAAATACTCTTTGCTTTACTGCCAATCTGAATATCAATAGCTTCAGCTTCCAGCCTAAACCATTCTGTGATTCTTTGATTCTGTGCACTAGGCAGCACATCAGGGAGGAGCACTTGGTAGTCGGCACAGCACTGCAGGCACTCCATGTGTGATATAGGTGAAGAATGGGATGAAAGGCACATGTAGCCCATGGACTGAGACTGCCATGCCACAGAGCAAGTATGAAGAACATACATGTATGGAACCTCTGCTCCTTTGGTAGCACTAAGGATGGGGTTTTTGCAACTTTATGTACATTTACAAACCTCATTTTTGGACAGCCAAAGGCTTGCATCTGAGTACATCAATCTTTAAAATGTCAAAGCATCCTTATGAAGCTGTCATTCCCACAAGACAAACTGACACCTTCCCTAGGTCATAAAGGAATTTAATTTTTGATGGGAGTTCCTTAGCTCCAGAGCAAACTTTCTCCTTCTGAATAAGGTTTCCACAGCAATAATGTAACAATATCTTTGGGTATGGCAGCAAGGGCCTCTGGGAATTTCCCACAGCCAAACAGCAGGAAATTGTCACACTTAAGGTAAGAGACACAACCAGGCATAACAGCCAGGTTGTCACTTTCAGGAAAACTTATCAAGCGTATCTTCTTTGGGAGTGCTTAATTTTTAACATAAGCCATAGGAGATACAGAATATTAATATATCCTCACTTCCTTTGGGAAAAAAATTAAACGATCGCAGGTTGGAACAGCACGCCAATATCAGACATTCCCCTTTGACCATGTGTGTGGTTGACACGCGTATTTTGGCCCAGGCACCAGCCTGGAGAGGGCTGCCCAGGGACCTGCTGGAAGCACCGTCCCTGGAGGTGTTTAAGGAAAGCCTGGATGTGGCACTCGGTGTCCGGTCTGGCTGTCACGGTGGTGCCGGGTCACAGCCTGGGCTCAGCACCTCGGAGGTCTTTCCCAAGCCGATTGATTCTGCGATTCGGAGGCGGGAAGGGGTGGTGTGTCCCGCCGAGACGCCGAGCTCGCTCTGGGCATGGCTCTTCGCAAAGCAGCCATGTCATCCCGAGGCCAGGCCCTGGGAGAGCTCCAGCCTCTCCCGCAGCTCTCCCCGGCCGCCAGCACTGCCCCTCAGCCGCGGGGCCCTTCCCCGCGGGCTCCGAGGACAGCGGCCCCGGCACCCCAGGCAGGCTCCTGCTGCAGTGGGTGGATCCTGGGAGGTGCCAGCCGCTTCCCGCCCCTTCCCCTCTCCCTGCGGGCTCGGCGCTGAGGAGGCGCCTGAGCGCGGCAGCATCTTCCCTTGGCTCGCCGGGGCGGGGGGAGGAGCCGCCGCCGCCGCCGCCGCCTCGGAGAAGGAAGGTAAGCGCCGGAGCACGGGGGTGGGAAGGGGAGGGAAGGGGCTTGGCTCCCCCCCTTCCCTGTGCTTCCCCTCCCTGGGCGGCCGGCGGTGGGGAACGGGAGCGGGGCAGGGCGCGGCCGCCCGTGCTGCGTGTGCTGGGCCGGGCCGGGGCTGCGCTCCGCGGGGCCTCGTTTCTCAGGCACCCGGTGTGTAAATGGCCGATAACGGGGGTGGCGGTGTGTCTGGCTGTGTGTCTGTGAGTCTGTCTGCGTGTGCTCCGTCAGGAGTCCCGTGTGTGTGGTGCCTGTGCGCGCTGCCCGCAGGTGCGCAGAGGCGCGGTGGCGGCGGCGGCGGCACTACGGGCGAGCTGAGCTTGGCGGCCCGGTTGTGGTTTTAAGGAACAGAAGGGATACTTTGGAAACCAGTCACCGTTTGTTTATTGTGTGGGAGATGGGAGGATTTCGTGGCGTTTCCTTGGGCAAGTGAAATGCTAAAATCAGGCGCAGTCAGCAAAGAGGTTTTACTCAGGTTACGAATGGGGTGAGGTCTGTAGGAGTGATGCTTGTGCACCATCAGAAACTATTTGGGCTGATGAATGATGTGCTTTCCAGTGCATTAAGGGAATTTACAGGAAAGATGGGGCAAGACTATTTATAAGAGAATGTAGTGAGAGGACAAGGGGGAACAGGTTCAAATTGAAAAGGAGTATATTTAGATTAGATGTTAGGAAAAAAATCTTCACTCTGGTTGGGTGAGGTATTGGATTGGGTTGCCCAGAGAGCTGTGGATGCCCCATCCCTGCAGGTGTTCAAGGCCGATTTGGATGGGGCTCTCTGCAAACTGGTCCAGTGGAAGGTGTCATTGCCCATGGCAAGGGTTGGAACAAAGTTATGTGTGTGGTCCTTTGCAAGCCAAACCATTCTATGATTCCATGTTGGACGATGTGAAAGCAAACATGGAGTAAAGGAAATGTTTAGAAGTAATCATCCTGCTCAGTGTTGATAGAAGAGATAATACCATCCAGGTACAGGAAATAAATGTGACAGAATTATGTGGGATGTGAATGATGTGATGGACTGTAAAGTAGCAGGAAGAGACTATGGATAAAGAAAAACAGTCAAGCGTATCTATTGCTTTGACACAAGAAAATTTTAAGAGCTTTTGATGGTGTCTGCTATGGGCCACAGGAGTTGGATTTGTATAAGAATATCACTTACTAAGAGATACTGTCAGGAATTATGTCACAGATGGATTTCTTTCTTAGACTGTAGAATGACAGAATGGTTTGTGTTGGAAGGGACCTTAAAGATCATCTGGTTCCAACCTCCCTGCCATGGGCAGGATTACCATTCACTAGGCCAGGTTGCACCATGCCCCATCCAGTGGCCTTGAACACTGCCAGGGATGAGGCATCCACAATGTTTCTCAGCAAACCATTTGTGCCCTCACCGCTGTCTGAGTAAAGAATTTCTTCCTGGGATCTCATCTGATTCTGTCCTCTTGTAGTTTAAACCCATTCCCCCTTGTTCAATCACTATCTGCCTGTGTAAAAAGTTATTCTCCCTCCTTTTTACACTCCTTCCTCCTTTCAGTGCCTAAAAGGGGCTTTTTCTAAGCCCCCTTTAAGTACTGAAAGGCCACAGTGTGGTCTCTCTGGAGCCTCTTCTTCTCCAGGCTGAGCAGCCAAGAGATGCAGGTGATGGCATCATTCAGACACACAGTGATCCAGGTGATCTTACATACAGCTTGCCCAATAAGCACTGAATTGCCTTAGACTTGCTCTCAGGTAAGCAGTGTGAAAATTCTGGGAAAAGGTGGTTCATTAGTCAGCTTGTGATCTTGGGTCACATTTCTAATTCGATTAAATAAATAGGAATAAAATAGGTGACTAAACAGATTGGAAATTCTTCATTTTAGAAACTTGGAAAAATCAAGAGGTTTAATTAGTGATGGTGTTTGTACAGGAGTCCTGAGGGCCCTATAAAGTAAAGAAGGTAGAAAGCTCTTTTATGCCAAAGGTATAATCCATCTGGAATTTATGTCCAAAAAAAAATAAATGGGTCTGTTGAAATCAACTTTTAATCATCAAAAAGGATTTTAGAAATAAAGATGAGAAAAAGAATAGTTAAGCAAAGTGAAAGTAAAGAGGTAAAGTGCCAGTTCAATAGTAAGAATTGCAAAGGAATAGCTCAAGTAATTCTGAGTTAGTTACAGACAATTGTTTTTTTAAGTTTCTTTAATCATGTAAATGAAAACAATAATAGAAGTAAGAGCACTGAGTGATAAATTTGAGGTAAAATGGCCTTGGCATCATGATGCATATTATCTGCTGCAGTTTGGAGGAGGCTGCTGCAGTGGATATACTTAATGTTAGATACTCCAACTTTTGCCTTGAAGCAATAACATTTTGTCTCCTAATTATTTTTAAGGGTTGAGAAACCTCTGCTTGTTATGTCTGATGCTGTTATGCTTTTGCCAGCAGTTCCAGTAACAGAAGACTGGTACAGTATCATTTATTGGTAGAGGAAGTGGGGTAACTTTTCTTTGTCATACACATTCTATTTACTATTTTTTCTCTCTCCTATAGCATGCAGCATCTTCTTAGGCAGACAGTGTTAAGAGCATTAACAATGGATTAATTTTGGATTAATTATGGATTAATTTTGTTTCCCTAGAGCTGGTTCATTGACCTCTCATGTTGGAAGGTCAAAATGAAGATAAGTTATCAATTCTACTGAATCAGTTGCATAGTAAATGAAGTTTTATGTAGAATATAAAATAGGCAAGAGCCAACAATGGCATCAGTTGTATTTTATTATGTTTGTGTTTTTTGTATGGATTGCAGGAGTTTGGGTAACAATTCAGCAAAGAGAAGGAACTTTTCAAGTTAATTTTTTGGAAAATCTGGATTAGCCATATCAAAATTGTCAACAGATGTTTTTCCTTAGCACCTCAGGTTAGATTTAGGTTACATTAGATTATATGAGGTTAGATTTTGATGCAGGAATGGCATCTTGTTCCCAAGAGACTGGGATTCCCAAAATGTTTGATTATTTTAACACATCTCAAGGTCTAGAGATAATGCTCATTATATTTTTTTCCTTTTACTGGAGAAGTAAGCCCATAATTATGTGAAAGTGACTCCAGCATCTTCCTATAATACTTTTCAGCCCTTAAAGTAGTTCTTGTGTTGTTTCCATGATCTGAAACACTTGTTTGCCTTCAAAAGGTAGTTTTGCATGTGTAGAAAGAAGTGTAAATACTTCTAAGTGAAAATGTGTTTTGGTTGAAATTTTCTTATCAGGCTTTTTTAGCTGCTGACTTTGACATTTCAGTAAGTCTACTGGAGGCTTAATTTTTAGTAAACACAGCTGTTTTCTTGTCTTTGTATTTCTGTCTTTTATTTGTTTGTTATATAGCTTCTCTTTCTTAGTAGTTGCCAGCTTCTTTCTTCAAATCTTCTTTTTTTAAAGTCAAGTAGATAGCCAAAGTGTGGTATTATTTTTTCCAGATTGACTGGAGGGTTTGTAGAATGAGAAAAGAATTTGGGATTATTTTTTTATTTCTGCTTTAAATATTTTCTTTCTGGTGGGTGATGATGATTTTTTCCAGTTGCTTCCCCTCTTGTTGCTGGCTGGTCAACAGTCCACCATTCTACAGCAGCAATGCTGATAGACTTTTTTAAAGGGGAAAAAGGAACTGGAATGGGAATGAGGAAAATGAAGAGACTTAATATGAGCACTTGTCTTACCATCACTTAGTATATGGATTTTGCATGTGAACCTCAGGAAACTTCAGTGAGGTCGTGCTGGATGTCCATCCCTGGAGCCAACAGGTGGAGCTGGATGTCATGCCAAAACACAGGTGGTGTCTCACAAGATGCTTGGCTGAAGTTTGGCTTCTGGAGATGGAGCCAGTAAAGAGTTTCTTGGATCTAGCCTCTGAACTGTGTGTTGGGTAGTGAGTAGGCACACAGTGGAACTTGCATCATGAGCAAAGAATTCACAGTCTGGTGTCATGGAGCAAGAAAGGAATGAGAGAAGATGATACTTTAGTTGGAGTTTGAAGTTTTCCAAACAACCACTCACTGGTCTGCAATTTTTTGGTGATGGAAAATGCCACATCAGTGGAAGAATAAATGATAAGCTGAGTTCTGTCAATTTATTGTCAGTGCTGGGTGTAGTTCTGTCATTTCACTGTACATGAAGAAAGAAGATAATTTTGGAAATAGTCTTCCTAGAAAGGAATGTGACCCGTTAAAGGAGTGCATGTTGGCAGTATTGGTGATCTGATCTCTCCTGCGAAATTGCTTGGGCAAGTTAGCATCATGTAATGACTACTCTTGTAGGAAACTGCTGAGAAATCAGGAATACCAGAGAAGGTTAGGTGCCTTTTCTAAAAGTCTTACCAAGTCACTTTTCTCTGTGACTTTTGCTTTGTAGTCTTTCCTAAGCCTGTGGTTAGAGTCCTTGGGGAAGAAGCTGCAGACAGACCTTTGAATCAGCAGATGAGGTTCATAAATGCTCAAGTTAAGTGGGAGGAAATACTAAGTGGAGTTCTGAAAATTTTTGTTTGCTTGCCAAGTTCCTAGAGAGAGAGTCTACAAGAATGTTTACATTCAGATGAGTCAGTGAACCTGTTTAAATATTTAGGGTTAAATGGTCTGGGGCTGTTAATGAAGCTTGGCTACCAGATTTAGTATTTATGTTCTTTAACTCAATCTTATGTGTACTGCAGAGGCGTGTGTGTCTTACCCAAAGACCTATTGTGGCTGGGCCAAAACGATGGTCAGAGCTTCCAGTTTCCAAGACCTAAACTCAGACTGCCAGAGTATGCTGTCCAGATTCTTAATGGTACTTGGATTCCAGATAAGAGATTTGTGGGAGTTTAATATAAATATTTTTATATCAAAAGGCTGTGCACGGCCTCAAGAAATGAATGTTAACAATAATGGTATTTTCTCCTTTAGATTTGCACTTCAGAAGTATTTTTTTTTTGGAAATACAGATAGGGAAAGTTATCAAGTTTTCAGCCATGAGAAATGTTTCTGGCTTACCTTTTTACTTTCTAAAATAAGTATTGCATTCTTTTTAAATGTTGTAGCTAGCTATTTTAAAGTAATGGGTTTTAGCAGTTGTGCACATATTATAAGATTTAGTAGACAAACAATCCCAGTAACTTGTCTGAAATAGCTAGGATATGTTTTTCTCCTGTACCTGATTTACTCAAATATAGAGGTTTTTGTCTTTTAATTTTTGATAAAAATACTGTTTTTTCTTTGCTTGACTGCTTTCACAATGGTTATTTTTCTGGAGAAAAATTCATGCAAGTAGGAAAATACGAATAATTACTAATATTTTAAACATGTACCGATAAGAATAGTTCTTAAACAGGTTTAATTTTTTTCTGTCTTAATTTTTGGGATCCTCAGGTGGATATATACTCCTAAATCAATTACAGATTTTTAGAAAGAATGACTTTGCAGATACAGATATGTGGCACTCAGTATGTACTTTTATTAGAAGACATGAATTTGGATAGAAGAATAAACTGGCATAATTTGAGTCACCGTGTGTACTCCTGTGGGGTTGCTCAGAAGTAAGGTGTCTATGTTTGCAGAGCAAACTGAAAATTGAGTTGCAGGGTAATTTTATCATAGTTATACAGAAGATAAGACATGTTCTAACTTTTGAGTTGGGAGGGCATGTAACTGATCTTTGTTGTAGAAAAGGGAAGGCAAAACTGTCGGGAGTCTGAAAAGTAATGAAGTGCAGCACTTTTTATTAATTAACTGGGGTGGTTACATCCTAATCTATCTTTATGCTAACTAATCAACTGCTTTTAAGTGAAACTATGCTTTTGTCTGAACTGGTGCAATTGAAGCGAAATACTGGAACCTGAAGAATCGTGGATATCAGTTTTGTAACAAATGGTGCTGCAAAATACTGGATAGCCTTGACAGTCAATTTCACAGGAGGACTGCTGGCATACTTGAAATGAAAAGTTTCAGAGGGGTTCAGAAGTACAGGCAAAGGCCTTGATTAGGGGACTTGTTTCTACTTTAACTAGAGATAATGCACACAAAGTCAACTGTTGCATTCTTGGTTTTGGAGCAAGTACGTTGAAGAAAATAAGCAATTGCTTAAATGCAAGAGCTCAGCAAGCTCCCCCATTTCCATGAAGGCGTAAATCTTGGTCGAAGGCCGTGTGTGCTCATTCAGGGCCCTGCTCAGCTGCACAGGCAGGGCTGTCTGGTGCCATTTAGTTCTTGGCTGCTGCTCCAGCTTGGCATGGATGTGTGGATATCCCGTGGGTCCTGAATTGTATCTGCCAGCTCTGTTTGGTGTCAGGGATCCCCAAGGTCATCTCAAATACCAGTAGTGCTGATGTGTCGGTGACTGAGTCAGCCCTTCACTCTGTCCTAGTTGAAGGGGAATATAACTTGGCTTCTAGTTGTTTCAGTTTGGTTGTGTGTTTGAGCCTTAAGCTCAAAGTCACCGTGGACTTTCACACATGAGCTGAATTCTTCATGTAATGTCTCAAACTAGCTGTATAAAATACACTCTGTGTGTGTAGATTTGTGAGTTGTGTTGAAGCTTAAGCTTACCAGTTGTGCATATTCAGCATGGTCGAGCTGCAGAGTTGTTCAGGTTTTTATTTGTTTCAAGAAAATAATTTTTGTGTGTTTATTCAGTAGATTACCTGTTGAATCATTAACATTTACCATACTTTAGTCATACTAATTTCATGTATTTTGTGTAACTGGATTGGGTCTTAAGGCATGAAGTCTTACATAAGAGATGTGTTTAGTATTAAGTTAGGCTGTTTTATGCAGTTACATTTGATACTTGTTTTAATGTGGGATTCGTCTGAAAATTAATAAAATGGTAACTGTTTGTTGGATGTTATTCTGCCTGTAGTCAGAATTTGAGAGACGCGATTTTATGCGAGAAATAAACAGATTTTAGCTATGTCTGAACCAATGTATCTCAAAGAAAATTATGTGTACAACTTTCATCACTGTTCAGTGAAAGAGGCTTGTACAGCTTCAGAGCTGCTTCTCATTTTTGTAGTTTTACTGAAAGCAGAGTTGCATGGCTTTATGTTAGGAAATAATTTTAGGGTAGTAGAGCTGTGTATATTTCTGAAGAAACAGCTGGTCTGAAGATCTGTTTCTATTGATAATGTACATCATAGAAATTATACAGGTAATTTATGGGGCTGACAATATTTTCTGAAGCAGAATGAATTTTTAGCAGCTCTCAGTAAACCTGAAAAGACACAAATGTTTTTCTAGGATTGGTTTCAGAATGGAACTGGAATAAGTAATTTTGAAGGCTTAAGCCAGAAATTGAATTCTCTGAGCAGTGTGCTTTTTCTGTGCTGAAAGAAATGTCTTAAAGCATTATGTCAGGAAGGTTCTCAATTTATTTCTGCTGCAATGAAAAGACATTGGAGTATGGTGCTCATAAAACATCTTTCTTTCCAATCACAATCTGATTAATTTTCCTATTTGTTTTAAAAAGATGTTTTGTCCAAGAGTTAATATTTTAGGTAAGACTACAGAAGAGCAGAGTCTGCCTAACTGATCATTGTATAGTTGTATGTAACAGCAAAACGGAGAGCTTTGCATTTCTTGTTTTCTCACCCCACAGAAGAAGATAACTATCTTAACTGGCTTTATTAAGTGTGGATGGTTTCAGAAAGTATTGTTTCAGCAATATGATATGATGATTTTAACCACAGCTCGCTCTCTCTGCAGGGGGACACAAGCACAAGTCCATATGGAGGATGAACCTCCTCCTCAAGGAGTCAGTGCCAAGGTCAGAGTGTTGATTTGTAGTGGGAATTCTGTACTGCTCTGCTCAAAAGGTTCCATTTAGCAATAGCTTAGTACATGCAAGTACTTTCCAAGGTAGACAGAAAACAAAAGCTATGGTTAGAAGAAATTATACTAGCTGAAGAAATCTTGCTTAAATCATCCACAAAATATTAGAAGAACAATATGCTCATATAACATCTGAGATTCGTGTCTAAGTCTGCCTTCATTACTTCGTGCAATATAATGAGGGAACTGGTCTCTTACAGGATATAAATATTGGTAGGCTAAGAGTTGAAATGGTTTTCATATTTTTGAAACAAAACATAACGTGGAACTGTGTGAGGGGAGAAAGTCTTGAAAAGTGGAAAAATATCTCTTACTGATACTGATCTCTTACTGAGTGTAACTAATAATTCCAGAGACAGGATTTACAGAGACAGGATTTAGATTATGGATTTTTTTGTCTGATAAAGTTTTGGTTCTTTCTTTTTTTTTTTTTTTTTTTTTAATCAGAATCATAAGTATTTCCTTGGGTGCTTTTTATAAGAGTAGTTGGGGAGTTTTTCTTGCAGTGTATTATTTTAGTGTTAAAAAATGCTACAGTTTGAGGCAATTATGAGGGTATGACATGAGTGCTTTGTAGAACAAGGTTAAAGAAAAAAACAACTTTTCTATATAAGATGAATGGGTTCTGACCCACTGAGCACTTGGAATTTAGAGCCCACATTATAAAGAAACCAGTATGTTATTCCAGTAAAGGAGTCTGTAAAATTGAAGGACACCCTGACTGTCCTTTTGAATTTCAGGCTTCTTCAGTCTTGCACAAAAGTGGGATGCAGTTTTGTTGATGCAGTTGGAAGAATAGTCTGTGATGCTTTCAGTATTTATTATCATATCTTAAGAGGGCCTAAAATTCTCTGTGGAATGAATAGTAACCTCTTGACATAAAAGAAATTATTCTGCAAGCAGCAGATGAACAAAGACTGATTCCATATGGATTCTGCTACAACCCTGCTACATGTCACAGGGAACAATGTCTGCTAGGATTAGCTTGGACCTACTTGCTCGCTGACTTATTTCATAACATAATGTCTGTTTGTCCAGCTGCCTGCTGCCAAGCTGATTGTGTCAGCAGAATCTGACTTCCCTTTAACTTGCAAATTTGCCTGAGGTTGGTCAGTTATATTTGCTGCAAGGAGATGGGGAAAGAACTGGTGTGATCAAAACCACAACTTTTTTTCCTGTGAAGATGGCCAATCCTTCTTTCCCCTCCTCTGAAGTAAATAATAAAGAAATGTGTGATTAGCTGGTATTTTTCAAAAGAATTTAATTTAGGGTTAATTTAGGGTGTTGGTTTTAATTTTCTAATGTTACATATATTCCTGTGTATATTTTTTCATAGTCAGTGATACTAATTGAAAAAGCAATATTCTTGTGGCTGATATAACATGCTTCAGACTCCAAACTAGAATTTTTTCACAGCTTTGTATAATTTGGAGGTAGGAAAAATGCATACATGAAAACAAATATGCATATTTCTCAAAGATAAGTGTATTCTTGGGCAGAGTTCTTTTATGGTTTCTTTTTTTAACAGCAATTTTAGCACCAAGGGAAAATACAGAGATTTCAAATTTTGAATATACACTTTGCACTTTATATTGGAATGCTGTCTTACAGAATTTAATATACATTGAATTCTGTAAGACAGCACTTATGTTGCATGAATATAGTGAATATATGTCCTCACCATTTAACCTCCTGCATGGTACTTTCCTCCATTAAAGTTGATCCTTTATTTCTAGATCATGATATATTTTATATGTTTATTTAATGTCTTCCTTTCAAGTATTATAGAATTAAAATACTGGTTTTGTGGCTGAAAAAGGAGATGGTGGTGTTTATAATTTTTTGCTATGCAAAGGCATGTGTTTTTTCTGTGCAGATATTTGATAGCATTTTTTATAATACCAGGCCTTGGAGGCAACACTCTTGTCAGCCCTGAAGATGCTGGATGTTGGGAAATGGCCGATTTTTTCTCTCTGTTCCCCAGAACACATCAAGTTAATTCGTCAAGCCTGTGTATTTGGCAGTGCTGGTAATGAAGTGTTGTATGCCACTGAAAATGATGAGGTAATTGTCCAAGAGTGTGTATGAATGTGACATGTTTAATCAGTTATGTGTCAAGTTACCGTGAAGGCCAGTAGTATAATAGTACACCTAGAGAAAGTTGCATGCAAAAATGTCTGTTTGCTACTGAAACATTTTCAGTTTAAATTAAAGGCTTCTTACCACAATCATAGAACAAAGAGAAGATGGAGTTAGGTATTTGTTGCAAATGCATAGTGACAGGATGAGAGGCAGTGGACACAAACTGCAAGATGGCATTTTCTGATTCAGTACTAGGAAAAGAATGCCGTAAGAAGGGTTAAATCCTGAAGCAGTTCTGAGATTTGTTTTCCATGTACAAGAATCTTTTGAACATGGCCTTGAGTCAACTGATCTGTTTAGATCTTTGGTGAACACAGAGGTGGACGAGTTGACCTTTGGAGGAAGCTCTCCATTGCAACCCAAGTTATGAGTCTGTGATTCTTTTATTACAGGTTTTTGTGCTTGGCATGAACTGCAGTGGCTGTTTGGGAACAGGAGACATGCAGAGCACTATAATACCAAGGAGGTTAGATTCCCTGTGTGGCAAAAAGATAGCCTGCCTGAGTTATGGAAGTGGCCCTCATGTTGTTCTTGCTACAGAAGGTAAAGTATGACCTGAATATTGCTTCTTCAGAGAGTCCACTTAAATTCATCCAGCAGGTGTAAAAGGTCTGGGCTGGTAACATGAGAGAGAGAGTTGAGCATTCTGGGCTGTTAAGTCAAATTTTAATTGGCAAATATGACATGTCAGCTAGCTTGTTATTTTCAGGAGTTTTTCAAGCCCTGCTCTGATCTTGTTACTACTTTTGGAAAGGTTTTTTCTTTCACTTCTCAGTTAAGTTCAAGACTTCTGATAGCTCTTGGAATGCATTTGTGGCTACATTATGCCCCTATGTTCTTGTGCCAGCAATGTCCTTTGACCACAATGCATCTTTTCCCTCCAGTACCTAATTCTGGATGTGCTTTAAAGACCCATTATGTTGGCTTCCTGCACTGATGCTGTATTATCCACATTGTGGTAGTGGCTTTTATGTTCATAATTAAGTATGTTACACTTGAGGAAAAATTATTAATATTATGTTCCTAGTGAGGTTCTCTTAGAGCCTGATTGATGATATTCACACTTACCTGTCTCTGTCAATGAAAGGAAATGTTTTTCAGTATTCTAGATTATGACTAAAAGTAGGTGGAATTATGTTGTAAATGTGTTCTTTTACATTCATTTCCTCCAGTCTTCATGGCAGACCATTCTGCACACTTTTTTTATATATGCATATGTATTCCTCTGACCTTTGTTACTGGCAGATCCCACTGACACACTCACACTCCTTAACCTATGATGAAGTACTGCCAAAGAGCAGGTCAGGAGCTGATCCTTGATGAGGTTTACTCATAACTCCATTTGCATTAATAGCTTTTCTTCAGCACAGCCTTTTAAACTTCCCTTTTAGAGGGCTCTTATATGTTACACAATTCTTAATTCTTTTAATTATTGTCATTGCCACTTTGCTGTATGTTTCTGTGCTGTATATTTCACATGTTTACTGAAATTTGTATTCACATGTTGGTGAACTGAGGAAAGGGTTGTTCACTTTTGGTAGGATAAAGTAATTAGATTTAACCAGTTATTGTAGTGAAGTATTGTTTTAGTGTAGCGTATTTTGCCTTTGTAGTTCTGAGGGAATCCTCCTTAGGCAGTATGCATATTGTAAGAAAATGAAAGCTTATTTTTTGAATTTTCCAAAATGGGAAACAGTGCCAGGGCATGGACAAGAAATTCTGATTCGTTGTCAGTAAAACAGAAATTGAAATGGGGGCTCTGACTGTCATTTCATCCTTTTCTCTTCTGTATTATACCATCCCTTTTCTTGCAGCAGTATGTTTTCCTTTGCTACGATTATGCTGATTATGCTGACCACTATCCATTTGGATTTGTGCCTGGTAGCATTGGTATGTTCATGGGCTGAACAGCCCCATAGGTCATATATGTATTTATACACTTAAGTATGCATATTGTTACTGAATTTGACATTTTAGTTTGTAATTTTGTGTTGTGTACTCATTGGAAAAGTAGAGATTTTTCAAACAGCTCTTTACATTTTTCTTGTAGAAGGAGAAGTGTATACATGGGGTCATAACGCTTACAGTCAGCTGGGCAATGGTACAACAAATCATGGCTCCATTCCCTGTCAAGTCTCTACTAACTTGGTGAACAAGAAAGTCATTGAGGTTGCCTGTGGCTCTCACCACTCCATGGTGTTAACCTCTGATGGAGAGGTGAGTATAGTGGGAACAAGTGTCTCTTTTCTCTTAATGAAACTCACATATGTGAGAAACAGCAAAACACTCTGCACCTCTAGCATTAGACCTTGCTTCCTCCAATCCTCACAGTGCTGATGTAACACAAATGTTTCAAAAAAATTGAAACTTGTGAGGGCGTAGCTGATTTTGTGCCACTTCTGCTTGTAACAACAAATTACACAGCCAGTTCCTTCCTATGCTATACTCTACTTTAAATGCTTAGTGGCATTACAGCTGATGTTAATGTAAATCACATTCACTGTAAGGAATTTTACCTGCCAAAGTAAAAAGTTTCCTGGAATTTACCTTGAGGTGGCATTTGTGCCACTTAGATATTCTAGTTTGGGTTCTGGAAAAGTAGCAATGGATTCTTCCAGCATTAACTGCAGCCATCGTGTTTCCCCTTACCTTTGAATGGAGGAACATAATGGAATATATAAATGCTTAGATTGGCATATTTTTATAAGAAACAGTTCACTTGTAAACCTGTGTGTCTTCCTAGGAATACATCCACTTTCACATAAAAAACCAATTTTTTTATTCATACAGCTTTTTCCTCTCTTGAACTGCATATTTTAAAGCCATCTTTGATGACGATTCTTTTGCAACAGGTGTACACATGGGGTTATAATAACTCGGGCCAGGTTGGATCTGGTTCAACAGCAAATCAAACAATTCCTCGAAGAGTTACTGGCTGCCTACAAAATAAAATAGTTGTTAATATAGCTTGTGGGCAGATGTGCTCTATGGCTGTGGTGGAAAATGGAGAGGTAAGAAACTTCACGTGAATATTTGGACTGAGTTTTACTTCATGTAATAACTTGGCACGTAGATAATTTCAAACCTGGTAGTAATGAGCTATTACTCAGAAAGGAAGTTTAGCTTTCCAAACTCCCTCGAGTCTAGCTCCTTATACTGCTCATAACCACCTTTGTTATTATACCACTGCTGTCTTTAGCATTCATAGACAAATTATTGTCTATACTAGAATCTGAAGTATTGTATGTGAGAGTAGTCAGTGAATGTGAGAATAATCACTGAATGATATTTTAATTTTCAGTGCTCATATTCACATATCTTAAGAGAACAAAAGTACATTGCATATATTTTTTGTACTGGAGTACCTCTTGAATCTCTCTCATACTTTTTTATTCTCTTTGCAAAGATACAGGGAGGCTGTAAAGTTCTACACTTTGTTCATATGAGCTGATGATGTTGGGCAGTATACATCTTGCTAGCTCTATTTCTCCAAACACTTGAGTTTAGAACTAAGTAGCCAGACTGCAGTAAAACATGATGTCACTGAAATTATCAGAGCTCAGTGTTTTCCCTTTTTCTTGTTTCGCATAAAGCTGCCTACTCAAACTGTTGTGCACAGCTTCCATTTTATAATTGTTCTAGTGTGTTTTCTGTTAGAAGATTTTGGAATGAGAAATCAGCTCTTTGAAGAAGGGAAGTATTGTGCTGGATTTACTCCGTGCTGGCAAGCAGCCATATGAGTCACTGATTTTCTGTTCTTCCTTTTAAAATATTGTAGTCCTACATAATCTAACTCCTAAAGAGCATGAGTGTGGAAGAATTCTAGATGAGTATGTAACCGGCATTTTAAAGAAAAACGTGTGTGCGTATATATGTGTTTACATAGGAAGGTATATGTGTGAATATGTTTGTGTTTACCTAAGACAACAAAAAGAAGTGAATAGTAGCAAGCAGCTAACAGTCCCTGTCTCTGTTTCAAGGTCTATGTCTGGGGGTACAATGGAAATGGCCAGCTGGGGCTGGGCAGCAGTGGCAACCAGCCCACGCCGTGCCGGATCGCAGCCCTGCAGGGCATTCGTGTGCAGCGGGTATGTCTGTGCTGCTCCTGCCCAAACCCTCCAGGAGCCTCTGCAAGAGTCCCATAGACAGCATGTGCTGCCTTTGTTTAAAAAGTGACATCAGAATGAAACACATGTGTCCTAAAGTGGACCTCTCCCAGCAGGGGAGAAACTGTGACCTGTGGAGGTCAGTGGAAATTTTGCCATTAACTTCAGTGAGGTCAGGATTTTACTTAGAGGACTAGACCATTAAAAATGTTTTTGTTTTCTTCTTTTTTCCCTGTGAAAGTTAATTAAAAAATATTGCTGTTGTTTTAGTAAATAACAGTGTCTTTCTAGGATATTGCATTCTTTATTAACCTCTGCCTTTTTGTGCTGGAAAAATGCTGCAGTTTAGCATTTTGTCTGTCTTGTGGACTGAATTTCATTTTAGAACTGCATCCCAGCCACAGTGACTTACTGGTGTTTGGAATCTGAATAAATTGCCTCCCACTGCATTTGGCTAACATTTGGTATGATTCCACAGTTAGTCTTGACCTTTGGATATTATTGCACTTTACCAAGTAGTGGGGCTACCACCAGTGTAACTAGCAAACTGTTAACTTCTTTTGTATAGTGAGAAATATTTAAAGTTACTGCAGGACTGATTCTGGAAGTTTTTAATTGATTCATGTGAAATAGAGGATACTGACAGGAAAATGATACAAGCTGTTAGAAAACATTGTTTTGTAGCCTATTGAAAATTTCAAGAGCATTTTGAACTTTGGATCCTATTTATTGTGTTTACTCAGGAAAGCTATGAATTTTTTAAGTATTTTAAAAGAAACTCATTTAATGATGTCATTTTATATCCAGTGCCTAGGATGTAGACAGTAGCTTTGCTGGTAGCAACTACTGTTGGATAGTAACATAATAAAGTGAGTATTATGTTCCCCTGTATTTATCTTCTGTTTAGAGAGTGAATGCTCCAGCAGGTTTGGCTTAGATTCTGTTTCTGTTCACTTCCTTTACTTGTTATCATTTAATACCATGTTGTAGATCTCCACTCAGTAAATAACTTGATAGTTTATTTCACTTAAAGTACATCACGTGCTTCATGGATGTCAATGGAGGAGTATATGTGTTTATGGTGTATCTTTGCAGATCATATAGGTGAGCTAGTTATGAACAATGTAAATTGGTTTTCGGTAGCTGTCTATCTCTACTAAGTTACATGAACTCCTGCAGAGCAGGACTGCTGCTGGTAATGTTGCCACTGTGTATCTGTCTGCATGTGGGGCATGTGCTGCATATGTGAAGTGGATTTTTTGAACAATCTGATGTGAGGAGGCAGCTCAGCAGGACCAAGGGTTTCCATGAAGTTATGAGTTGATACAATTGTGGGCTGCCATCGAAATGGAGAGTTTTGTCTCTTCCATCTCTTTCCTGGCTGATTGCTCTTGTTGCTTATCTTGTGTGGTTCTCAGACTGTACTGTGAGAGTTTTCTTGCAGTGATGTAAGTTTAGAGAATTACAGAATGGCCTGGGTTGAAAGGGACCCTAAAAACCATCCAGTTCCATCCCCTGCCATGGGCAGGGACACCTTCTGCTAGACTGGGTTCCTCAGAGCCCCAACAAACCTGGCCTTGAACACTTCCAGGGATGGGGACTTATCTCAGCAGAGGATCCTCTGATCCTCTGGCACAGGGAGGGGGCAGTTTTGTGTTTTGTGTGGCTGTCAGGGATGAGAGGATCAGACAGGGAGACCTTAGCTGTTTTTCCAGTGGTGAAGCTGTTCATATTGGAGCAGTTGTCCATGGAGCCAGGTCAATGCAGGACAGACAGTCTTCACTTTTCTGGGTATTGTTCATATTTGTCATATAGCTTTCCTTCTTTCTCAGTTTCTAGCTATTCTTTTTGCTCTGCTCTTGAGATTATCTGTCAGGGTTTCTCATTGGTAAATTTTTTCCCCCAAAGTCACTTCATCTACTTTCCTTCCATTTTTAATAAACTTACATGTATTTTTAATTTTTACAGTAGCCTAGAATCAATGGCATAACCTATAGCATAAGATGTATCTGTCTATATTAACTTACTATTGCATAAAAATGAGTTTTTCTTATTTTTATTATTCCTTACAGGTTGCCTGTGGCTATGCACATACATTAGTGCTAACAGATGAAGGTCAGATATATGCCTGGGGAGCCAATTCATATGGCCAGTTAGGTACTGGGAATAAAAGTAACCAGTCTTACCCTACAACAGTTGTTGTGGATAAGGACAGGTAATACTTACAGTCTTGCAATCAGACATTGGTTGACATACTGACAGAAGAACTACATAAAATTATGGTATTTTTAATCTTTTTTTTTTTTTGGGAGAAGGAGCCTAAAATTTTTTGCAATGGTTCATCTGCTAAATGTGTAGAGAATTTTCACTGAAAGGGCTTGAATCTGCCCCATAACCATCCCTGTGAAAGAGAAACTGAACATTCTGAGCCTGAATATGCTATTTTCTGCTCCGGCTCACACTGTACTTTAAAGGCCTTAATTGCAGTTTCCCTTCAGTGGTGTAGTTTCATTGCTTGAAATCAACAATAAAGGCTTTATTGTCTGTGAATATAAATTGTATTTTAATATGCTACTTTTCACAAGAAGTGTACTCAGAAAAAGTGAAGGGTAGACATCTGCAATTTGTGTTATTTCTGCTATTAAATCTGGCTCATAATCAGGAGAGAGAGAAAGGGAGGAGTTCTTTCTTGGTATTGTTGCATAAAAATAAAGCTTCGATTTTTGTGAGTTAAATATTTTCCTCTAGGTCCTTGAGGGACAGTGGGGCAGTTGTTTCTGTTGTAAAGCCAAGTATGTCCATGATCAGAAATCGTAATTTTGGGCTCCTGTTGTGAGTAAGAAGGAAAGTGAGATGTCCCTCTTAACCCTGTGTCTGAGTACATCATTGTGAGGAAGTGGCATCTCTGCTCTGGTGATGAGACATGGCCTGATCTTGAGCATTGCTATTTCTGTGTGTGTACTTGTGGTTTTCCTTCAAATGTTATTGATTTTTTTCCCAGACACTTTAAAAATGTTACAATAAGAATTTAATACAAGTTTTAATGTTGCATGCTACCTTTGGCTTTTGTCGGTCAGAATATGAATTCTTGGTGTCAGTGAAAATACTGCCTCACTAAAGCCTGCAAGATTTGTGCATACAGCTTTAAACAAGTTGTTTCCCTGCCATTATCCCCAGGCAGCTGAGAACACAAGTAAACAAGCAGTAGTTCAGACTGCAAAACAGTGGATTGTGTAATGCTGTACACAGTGGGAGTTTTGAAGTCCTAAATCAGTCTTGGGATTAGAGACATAGCCTAGTTTAAGGACACTTAGAAACAGCTTTAAGTGCTGTTTGGTTCTAAATTTTAGTTTTCAAAATGAAAGTCCTTTAAACTGAAGTAATAATAATTATATGAGTAAGAAGATGTATCTTTAACTTGTTGGTTTATGATTGTTACCAATAAGCAAACAGAAAAAAGACTTTCATTGTCTTTCAATTATAAGCCAAAATGCAATTTTAATTATTTTTTAATGCATCCTTATTTCCTTCTTCATCTTCTCCAAGTATTTGTTCTCTGCAGCTTAATACAGCTACTCCCCTCACTGCCTAGCACCACCAAGGACATTCAGAGACTTGAAACTCATCATAGCTTTGCTTGACAGAGCTGAGGGATCAGCAGAGGATGTGCTGCAGCAGATACAGGGCTCTGCTGCAGCTCTGGCTGCTCTCTCCCAAGATGCTTTCCCAAAGAGAAACTTGGAGTGCCCACTGTTTGCAGAAACACTGCCAGCCCTTTAAATGTTGCTGTGTTTGACCAGAAGGCACTCTTGCTTACATGCACGCTTAAAAGCATGTCTTGCACTAGAGAGAGACAGGAGGCAGTGAGCTGATTCACTGCATTTTGTTCATAATGAGTGACTTTCTTTTCTCCTTTTGTTTGCTCGCGAATTCAGGGTGGTGGAGATCGCCGCCTGCCACTCGGCGCACACGTCGGCGGCCAAGACGCAGAGCGGCCAGGTGTACATGTGGGGGCAGTGCCGGGGCCAGTCCGTCGCCATCCCGCACCTCACCCACTTCACCTGCACCGACGACGTGTTCGCCTGCTTCGCCACGCCCGCCGTCATGTGGCGCCTGCTCTCCGTAGGTGAGCCCACACGCTCCTTATTCTGACGCCTGCCAAACAGAACTGGTAGCTCATACAACAGTTGCGTGTGTTTGAAGCCTAAACATAGTTACTCACAAAAACTTACACCAGGAAGCATAATCATTATGATGTGTTATGTATGTGTAAGTGGTAATGTGGCATGGTAAAAAATTGCTAAAGCCTGATGGCAGGGCTAGACACTTGTCTGTTTTATTGGTGTGGCTCATTGTCAGAACCCAAGAAATTCCTCTGGCTGCCCTGGAGGGCTTGAGCCCCTGCCCAGGGGGCTCAGAGACCTTGGCACAGAGCCCAAGACCCCTGTGCCTTTGATTTAGCCCTTGGGAAAAACAATTACCAACCTTATATGAAGGATTACAAGCTACGACAGTTTAAGTAGAATGATAGTGAATTTATTACAGGGTGAAAAATAGATTTTTGAGGTTTTTAGAATGGGGGTTCAGGGGACAAGAGGGGGAATCTGAGCGTGTCCAGCCTTTCTCCTTCTTCCTCCTAGCCTTCATCTTCTCCTGTGATGTTGGCACTTTTAGATTGACTTAGAGTAGAAGCTCACTGTCTAACGTAGGTGATAGGTATTGGACAGTTATTGTAAATATTGTACACATAGTTTTTAGTATGAAAAGATAACACTGCCCTGGGGGCAGTGAGAGTGCCTAGACTGTCTTGCTGAGCGGACCTCGGCAGGACAGGAGAAAGAATTTTATAGATAAGATACAAAAAACAACCTTGAGACCGAGAAATGAAGAGCTCTGACTCCTTCTTCCACCACCGGGCTGGGAAAAGAAACTTTCTAACCTTGGGGTCACTCTGAGCAGCGAGAGATCCTGAGAGCTCTTTTCTATGGGGAAGTGCCTCAGGTCTGGGGAGAAGTTTTTTGTGTAACCTCTGTGTGTGACTGTCCAGTGGCTCTGGGTGGAAAATCTGAGTTTGAATTTGGAGATTTGAGTTGAGGAGCTCTGAAGCTTTCTTTGATGCTCTTAGGTAGACTGCTAAGAATTGAGGGGTCCAAATTTCCATGTTCTGAATTGGCCATAAGCACTCAGTCTCATCACAAGGGATTGTAGCCTGGTCTTCTGAAGAGTGTTGCTGGATCTCAGGTGCTTGATTAGCATTGAGATCTGTCTTAATGGCCTTGAGTAGAGTTAAGTATACAGCATTTGCTACCAGAGAGCTCATTCTTTAGCTACAATTTAATCCCATTATGGTTCCTAACGAAGTTACTGGGGTGTTGGATTTTTTGTTTGGTTTCTTACTGTTTTTTTTTTTTTTGTTGTTGTGGTGGTATTTTGTGAGTTTGTTTTGACTTGTTGTGGGTTTTGGGGTTTTGTTTGTTGTTGTTGTTCTTGGGGGTTTTGTGTATTTGTTTATTGTGTGGGTTTTTGGTGGGGTTTGGGATTTTTTGACCTTAACTTCTGGTTCCCTTTGGAAATAGACGCACAACAGTGTAGCAATGTTGTACCAAAGCATAAGGTGAAGCCTTACAGGAGGAAAGGTTACTTTACTTTTAAATAAAACAAGTTTCAGATGCACTTTCAAAGCCACTTTTTCATATTTTCGAAGTAGTGTCTCCAGCATCCTGGCACTATTCAGGGGGTAGGGTTCCTTGTGATGACACAGGCAAAAGGACGCTGGCTATCAGGTCCTTGTCATGTCTGCTGGGTTGTTTTCAGTTAGGTGACTCTGCTGGAGTCAGTTGTGCCTTTTTGCACACTCCAGGAGCTGAGGGTGACTGGCCTCTTCATCCTGTCCCACCCTGGCAAGCTCTCAGGACTGACTCACTGCTGTTTGTCATCTGATGTATGTGTGGTGAGAATCCTCAGGCAGCTGTGTCCTGGGATCTTACATCTGCTGACCTTTATGCCATGGACATCTGCCATGCTTACAGCCCTCCTCTGTCCCTTTTATTGTGGTGCTTCCACACCCAGGCGTTCCCATTCTCTCCATGTTTGTGGCAGTTCTAACATTTCTAATACAATCCTTAGCGCTGGCTGCTAAGGAGTTTTGTTGGCTTTGTGCCTTGTCAGTGGGAACTGCCTCTTCATTTCCTTCCTCAGGCTCCCCTTTCACTGCTGTAACAAATAAAAGCAGCTGGTTTCTCCCTAAGAGTTCCAAAGCTGGACTCCACTGTATTCAGTTTTCCTCTGATGGCTGTAAGAAGTCAATTGGAGATGTCTCTTGGTGGACACCTGGATTGCCAATTAACTTTGTATCAGAGGTCAGAATAAATAAACCACACATTGTACAAAATAAGAACTAACAAAGTATTTTATTGTATCATTGTTTCAGAAATATTTCTCTTTTTTATCATCACTATATTGGGTTTCTTTCCCCCATCCATTTTATGTGTACCTACCCAAATTGTGTATACCTGACATTCTCCAAATGAAGTGCAAAATGACTGTGCTAAACAAAGTGTAACAGTATCAAAGTGTGTGTGTGTGTTAAGCTTTTTTAGAGCTTGTGGAGAAGGTCTTTCCATTTCCAGCAGAATAGTATTCTAATTTCTAGTTTGATAGGTTACAGGACCTAGCATTTATGTAATTTTCTGTAGAGAACAACTAATTACTGACCCACAAGATCTGTCTAAACCCATAATATCTATTTATATGGTAAGAAGACAAAATGCTGTCACAGTTCAGAATGAGATTTGGGGGTAGAGTGGGTTGTTGATTTTTTTACTAGTATTAAGGAAGATGGTTCTCTGATGCTGTGTGATGGAGATTTGGATCAGTTCAGTAGGTAAAAATTTGTATGCAGATAATGGAGGACTTTTCAAAGCTGTTTGGTAACTTTATAATGCAAATATCAGACATGTACAGACATATGACACCAACAGGAGTATGCACACCTTGACACATTGTGCTTCTAACACCATTAAGTCTAGGGAAAACAGTTATTTTAGAATAAACTTGTAAGTGTTGGTATTTACTTTTAGTGATATTGCACTGAACGGTTTCACTGGCCACCAATATGTTGTTTCTGTAATAGATTCATTTTTGCTGTAATATAATGCCTCCTTATGGAAGCATTTCAGAAAATTTTATTATGATTTTTTTATTGATATTTTGAGGCTCTTACAATAACTAACAGTTTCAATTTTATATAATTTACTCACTAATGGTTGATAGCATTTTTTATCATATGGTGCAGTAAACTTCTGAGATTAAACTTTTTTTTTTCTGGCCTTATATAGATGAATTACAGGAGTGAATTTCAGAGGTTTTTTAATAGAAATATTTGCTTGGAGCAGGAAACTAGAAAGAACTGAAGAAAGCTGTCCTTTCTTGTGGGATCTCAGCACTTCAGGACTGAGGTGCCGAGTCACTGAGACCACCCTTGGGGGGCTCGGGAGTCCTGGAATGTTGCCAGAAGTGTCTGGTGGCTGGACTTTGATCCTACACAGGAGACGACACCTGTATGAGGATAGGAGGATTTCACCAGAGTGAATGGTGAAGGGATAAGTTAATTAGAGAGTGAAACACAGGGT